TTCTTAACAGTGAGGGTGACAGAGCACTGGTACAGGCTGCCCAGAGAGGTTGTGGAGTCTCCTTCTCTGGAGATCTTCCAAACCCGCTTGGACGCAGTCCTGTGCCACGTGCTCTAGGTGACCCTGCGTGTGCAGGGGGTTGGACTAGGTGACCTCGAGAGGTCCCTTCCAACCTTGAGCACTCTGTGATTCCATGATTCTGTGATCCGTGCCGCTGTTGCAGGTGTCCAAAGCGGCGGCCGACTTGATGGCGTACTGCGAGGCACGCGCCAAGGAGGACCCGCTCCTCACGCCCGTGCCGGCCTCCGAAAACCCCTTTAGGGAGAAGAAGTTCTTCTGCGCGATCCTGTAACGCCGCGAGGAGCCTGCCCGGCGCGGGGCCGCCCTGAACACTGGCGCAGAGGGGTGTTTTTTTAGGAACGGGGGGGACAACCTGGTAGTCCACTGAATTCAAGCAAACACAAACACAAAAAAATCGTAACACAAAACCAAAATAATCAGTAAAACCCGCGGCCTGGAAGCGACAGCGATGTGCATGTTTAAAGACCCCGGCCACCTTTGGGGCAGTGAGATGATCTACCTTGCGAGGCAAAAGGCCTGAAGTCTGTAGAGTTGCCTAGAGAAGGGGGGGAAAAAAGCAAACAAAAAAGTGTAAAGAATAAATGTGTGTCGCTCTTCTGCTCCCCAAACTTGTTCGGTGGCTCCGTATTTAAAGCACTCGAGCTGTGCTGAGCAAAGCGAGTTGCTGAGGATGTGCATAACCGTCTTGGAATGATAGTGTCGTTCTTTTTTCCAAATAGGATTTTTTAATTATTATTATTAATTATTATTATTTAAGTTGTCGGATATATAGCAACAGGCTTAGGTCACTATGATGTTACTTAATGTTCGGTCTTGTGCTTCTTTTTTGATTTTTGGCGTGAGGGTAGCGCGGAGCCGGCGCTCGAGGCCCGATCCCGCTTCCCGGCGCTTCTTCCGTGGTAGCTTCGACTCCGCAAGTAACAGTGACTCGTGTCTCGTGGTTGGCGCTTCGTACCCCTGTGATGGCTTGTAGTGCATGAGCTGTAGCTCCGTTTGTGCTCCGCGTTTTCTTTGCTTTTCCCGTGCCCGCCGCCGCGCGCCGGTGGAAGGAGCCGGCGGGAAGGATGCCCGAAGGCGAGCGGCTCCCGCGCTGCCTTTGCCTA